CCTTTTGGCAAATTTTGCAAACTTACATTATTTTTAATATCACAATTTTCACACTAATTATTTTCTAATTATTCTAATTGTCACCATTAACACAGCAATAAATTCTCATTTTTTAATATATTAAAATTATAAGTCTAGGTCAAATAGTTTCGGAGATATTAAATTACAAAATTTTTGAAAAAAATGAGTGTTTTCAACCCTGAGTCAGCTGTTTTTGGGACGTACTAAGGAACGAGTTTTTAATCGGTCATTGACTTCTTCATTTCTAAAAACGAAATAAACTAGTTTGTGATTTATAAGACTGCTTTCATGCAAATTTTGCCAGACAATCAATAAACAAGGCAGTCAAAATGCTTAAATCGATTTACAGACCAACAGCCGGATTCTGATTTGAAAAAAGTAGAAAATTTCTACTGCTTATTCTCAATAACCTAAATTTTTTTAATTATTTATCATCCCTGGATTGTAGTAAAGGAGGTGGGCCTGATTCGTTGCCGCCACTTTTATTTAAGTACTGCGCTAAACATTTAAGTAAACCCTTACATATGATATATAACGCATCACTCAAAGCGGGAATATATCCAAATAAGTGGAAAGTTGCATATTTGACACCAATTCATAAGAATGGAGCCCTTGATGATGTGCGTAATTTCAGACCTATGTTGTCTATAGCCGGTAAAATCTTAGAATCTTTTGTGAACAAGTACATCTATAACGGGGTAAAGAGCCTCTTACATGTGGAACAGTATGGTTTTCAGCCTCACAAATCGACTACTTCCAATTTGGTGGCTTATGTCGATTATTTATGTAATGTAATAGACAAACAGGGTGAAGTACATGCTGTGTATACTGATTTTAAAAAGGCTTTTGACCTCGTAAATCATAATCTTCTGATGGTAAAGCTTGAACACATAGGTATTCACGGATCACTATTGAGATGGTGTGAATCGTACCTGAGAAATAGATCTCAGTTGGTGGCAATGTATGGGTTTACTTCAACAACCAAAAGGGTACCGTGTGGTGTTCCGCAAGGGTCCCATTTGGGTCCGTTAGAGAAGATTTGGATAAAATTGGTGAGTGGTGTGACAATAACGGAATGCAACTTAACTTAAATAAATGTGTTCACATCAACTTTACCCGAAAGCTACATCCTACGAACGTCAATTATTATATTCAAGGTAAGCCATTAGCAAAAATTTCACAGATCCGTGATTTGGGAGTAATCATAGACAGTGCTCTGACCTTTCGTCAACACATAGATTTAATAATTAATAAAACATCCAGATTGTCTGGTTTTATCATTCGCCAGATGAAAATATTTAGCGATCCGAAACTAACTATTGTCATTTTCAACTCCATAGTGCGTAGTATCGTAGAGTAGTGTAGTCCAGTATGGAATCCTGGCTATCAAGTCCACTCGGAAAGACTGGAAAGGGTGCAGAAACGATTTTTGTACCATCTTGCATACTGTGATGGTATGTGTAAGCGACTACCCCCTTACCAAGCTCGTGCTAAGCACTACAATCTTTCCGTTTTGAATGCACGTAGAAAGGTGGCTGATGTTCTTTTCCTGTTTAAGTTGATCCATGGTCATATCGATTCTCCAGAAATACTTGAGCACATAAAAATTTCTCTACCACGAATTGGCAGTAAGTTGCAAAATCGCAAAACATTTACCCTCCCTTTTTGTAGGTCAAGGCTCGGTCATAACTCACCATTGTATCGAATGTGCAATTTATACAACTCCGTCAGATTCGATTTTGACTTCTTTGATGGTTCTGTGGCCTCAGCAAAAAAGGTCTTAAAAGATATATTTTTATAAAATCATTAACTTTTACACTTTCACACTTCTAAATCTAAAACAAATACTTAAATTTAAATTCTTTATGTTGAATGTCTCTAAAATAGTAAATAATCCATTCCTTTAAGAATATGAACTTTCATTACATTAACTTTTTTATGCATGTTGTGCTTACATCGAGTAGGTTTTAATGTAGTCTCAAAGATTAAAATGTTTTCTGTGTATCAATGTAATCATTGTAAACCAGTTGTGTGAGCCTAATAAAAAAAAATAATAATCACTGGTTTAGGTATATATACTTATAATGTACTTACAATTTATTTTATTTATATGTAGATAATTGTTATTTTCATCACTATATTACTTTAGTTATTAATAAATTAATAATATTTTACGTATATAAGCTTTGTTGAACAACCAAAATCATATTCATAATAATATGAATCGATACATCTCGAGTTAATGGATTTTCAGAATAATCGATAAATTTTGTGCACCTCTTTTAAAGTCTTAGAGCTGGATTGAATATTTTATGAAAAATGTGATACTGGAGTACACAAAATAATATTTTCGGAACTATTTTTAAAATTGATAATAATTAGAAATAAAGTAATTCATACAGTTAGTTGAGGTGACATGTGAATTCTTATATTGAAATTAAATAACTAAATATAGTATTCATACAACATTTAAATATTATTTTTTACTATTTCAAATAAATAAGTTACTGTACTAATCAAATGAAATGAATCATTATTCGATAATAAACTGTAACTCTAAAGTAGATAAAATACTAAGCCGGTATTAAAGCGAACTTTGATGTGTTGACTATCGTAAGTGCAACCGAACTCCGTCGGGTTCGTGTTTCTATTCCCACGTATTACTTTATTTGCAAAGACACTCGAGCGACAATAGCTAACTTTAACTGTTTAGTAAATATAAAAATGTCATTTGTGAATTCAAGAAATCATCACTAAATGGTCTAAAACTGTTGAAAAAAAGAAGATCAAGTAAGTAATGATTATGTTTCTTAATAACTTACTAATATGTTATAAAGTACTTAATTTAGATTCAAGTAAAATATATAAAAAAATATTAGGCAAAATCAATGCAATGTGGGGACCTGGGAGTACGTGAGAATTGGATATTGAGTCATTACTTGTTGGAGGGGAAATCGCAAACTGAATGTATCGATGGTCCGATAAGGACTCCTCCTCCACAAGCACCCGCCAACCCTCGACTCTCTGTGCCAGTGCAGGGGACGCGAACGTGAGATCGACGATTGAGCCCACCGTCTGCCCAAGATACCTTCTCACGCAGGTAAGCTCGCGTCCCCTGTTAAGGATTTCGAGTCCCGCAGATGAAGCCCAATCATGGATTAGGTCTCCCTCTACTGAGTTTCTGGGGGAACCCCAAGCCGTGTGCTTGGCGTTGAAATCCCCCAGAACCAATGTGGAGTGGGTGGCCAAACGCCCCACTGCAGATCCCAAACGTCTAACCCAATCATCATATTCGAAGAAGGGTCGAGTCGGTGAAAAGTACACCCCAAAGATAGTAATACCTCCCCACAGTACCGCTATGTAGCCCGCACCTCTTTCCTTAATCGTAAAGGGAGGCGAAAAGGCGGCAGTGGAAGGGACTACTATAGCAACGGAGTCGTCCGTATCTGAGATCCAACGAGTGGATTGAGGTATGCAGTACGGCTTCGATACAACCACAAGATCTGCTTTGACCCTGGCGGCGCTTTGTAGGAGAAAGTCCTGCGCGCCAGCACAGTGGTTTGTATTACTTTGGAGGACGCTTATCGAGACTCTAGGCATCAGCAGTATCGTGGGCCACCTCCATGGCCGTTTCCGACCTTACCACCGTGCTGGCGCTATTGCCCCTAGGAAAGGTTTTGGGACGAATCCTGGGTGCGGCGCAGCTCTTCCCTCCCATGATGTGGTTATGGCTGTGACCAGCCTCTTCGCATACTACGCATCTGGGAGTAGCGCTACACGTTGCGCGTTTGTGCCCAGGGTTCCCACACCTGAAGCAAATGTTACTCCTATCCACCTCTTTGGGGCACATCTGCCTAGTGTGACCCGTGTGCATGCATTTGAAACACCTCATGGGTTGAGGTTCCAGCATTTGCACACGGGCACAACTCCATCCAACGAGGAGCCTTCCCGATGCCGTCAGGGATTTGGCCAGAGCAACAGGGCAATGTGCAATTAACATGGACAGGCCTCCAGGTCCTCTCCCAAGTGTACCCGTTCTGACTTGCTCCACCTTGCAATTTCCCTGACTGGTGATAGCATCCGCCACATCCTCTGGCACCACCGAGTCATCCAGGCCAGTGATGCGGATATCCGCAGTTTTAATAGGCCTGGAGACTTTCGCTAAACCTCCCAGTACCGTGGTAAGGCGAGACTGGAAGAGCCCTAGTTTGTCTTCACCAACGGACTTCGGAAGTTCTAACTTCCTTGCCCCCGTGGCCGTGTGGCGAAGACGGAGGCCAGTCGGATCGATACCGAAGTCTTTGAGACTGATCTCTTGTTTGGCCTTGGATATGACCTGTGCATAGGTTGCACTTGAGTCCCCATTTCCGGCTCCAATATCGATAATTAGAGCCGAAGTACTCGGAATCTTCACCTTCGGAGGAAAGTGGAGTTCTGTTAGGCTTTTTTTTGGGGGGGGCTTTTGGGAGGGGGGGGAAGGAGGATTGATAGCTTTTGGTGTTTTGGCAGCCTTACGATTGTTCCCCCGCTTGACCACCGTCGTCCACTCGTCATTTGGCGCTTGAGAGCGCAAAGGGGACGACTCCTGCTGAGGCACAAGAGGGGGGGAGCAGTTATAGCCTGCTTCCCTTTCGCATTCTTCCTTTTCCTCTTGTTACCATTATTAGGAGCAGTGGAGGGAGTGCCTTTTTGGGTATTAGGCTGGGTATGTCTCCCCTTCGCTTTCTCCTTACCCTCTTGCGGTTGTGCAGTACGTTGAGGTGTTGCCGTCCCATTAGCCTTCTGTATCGCTTCTGTCTTAGCCAACGTAGCACCCTCCGAGGAGGGCCTCATAAACTCCCTCGTGACGATTCTCAATTGAGAGTCTGATGCAAGAGGGGGACGGAGAGGGTTCGGTACAACAAGCCGGCTCTCCAGTCCTTTGAGGTGATTATTGAGGCGTTGGTCTATCATCCCGCTCAAAGTCTCAATAATGGAGCTCAGTGTCTCCTTGGGGAGGCATGTGTTTTCCCCAACACCCGAGTTTGGTCCATCAGCAGGGATGTCCATGTTGGCCTTCCTGCGCTGTCTCCTTGATTTGCCTTCCAAATTGATGGCGACATCCCGCTCCGCTCTCTCTCTCTTCAGGCCCGCGATCTCCTGCCTAATGAGATTGAGCTCATTCCCAAGGCGCATATTCTCCGCCTTTAAGTGTCTAATTTCCTCCTCCGCTGACACCGTCAGGTTCTTCGTGAGGAGCTTACGAAGATCAGCAGTGCCAATATTGAAGGCTTCCTGACAGTGCCCTTGAGGTTCCTCGACTTGGCGCACTGCTCCTCAATAGAGTCCAAGTAGTTCATTGCCTTATTATGCACCTCTAGGACAGAGGATCCCTCAGGCAGTTCAGGGTCCAACTCTATGGGGAGCTCCTCATCATCACTTCCGGATAAGTCGTCGATATCAATATCCGCTTCCGGGTCTACCCTGCCTTTTCTCTTGGCCGCAGAGACTCCGACGTGGTGTTCAGCCAGAGTCTTTTTGCGCCGAGGGGAGGGAGGCGGTCGGCGGAAGAAGACACTGTCCTCCTCGGCATTATCCTCACTATTAGAGCTATGCAGCGAGTCACACACGTCCGGAATCCGTGTCGGAGACAACTCAATTGCTTGTCTCTTGTGTGCATGCTCGGTTAGGGTTTCATTGCTACCCCCGCTACCCTCACTCGAGTCCGAGCTGTTATGAACTCGTTTGCCCAAGGAGATATTTGAGCCGATATTTGGAGGGGAGGGATTTCGCCCATCCTTGCACAAAGGTGTTGCTGTCAAAGCCTTGTCAAGAGGGGCAGTGGAGCCCCTTATAGCACCTCTCGTTGGGATTCTAAGGTGAAAAGGTCCCTTCCTACTACCCTCCAGTGAGCAGACAGAGCCACTCATCGATCTGTCAAGTGTGAGTACCGGGACACTCTCTCCCCTTACTATTTCCGTCAAGTCAGATGTCGACAGCGAGAGAGACACATCAGCCTCTTTTCCTTTCGCCGACGACTTGGTACAATCCAGTTTAGCCAGTGTAGGCGACGATGTTGAACTGGCCATTAACTGCGCCCTTGTTTGCGAGCGCGTTGTCACTCTATTTGGTGATCGAGAGCGAGACCGAGAACGTTCCCTAAAACTCATATCACCATCTATATCCGATTTAGCAGTAGACGCACGTCGACTGCACCTGTCCACCTCCTTCTCAGTCGGTCCTATCGTCTCTACAGAGGGGTCCCTAGAGTGGGACAGGTCTCTAGAGAGGAGATCATCTGTCCCCAGCACCTCCAAGACATCTCCGGAAACTTTGCCAACATTAGGTTGAGGATTTCTACCTCTACCTCCACTACCACGACCCGCAACGCGCTGACCCTTAGAAGGGTCTTTAGCCAAACCCAGCTTACTCAAAAATGAGCTCACCGAGCCTTGGCCCTGAGAAGGGCCTTTTTCCTCACTCCGCGCACTTCCGCCCGCGCAAGGCTCATCCCCTCTGTACGGAGAATCATCCACAGCATCACTTCGCTCACTTCCGGCCGAGTCCAGCCCACCAACCAGAACTAAAAAAGGTTTTAAGATTGAAAATGCCATTTTTGTTCCCACGAGAATAACGGTTCTAAAGGACCACCCAGGCAGAGCCGAATACCTGGGCTGGGCTAGGGTTGTGAAGGTGGGGGTCGCCTGTTCCCCACCTCCAGAGGACGTGTCGCGACTGAGAAAGGCCCTTAGCCACGAACCCCTCGACCGCGTCTATCTTGAGCTAGCCGATTTTTATTGAGGTTTACTCCTCTTGAGGTCACCCAGTTAAGGGCAGCCCCCGCCCCACAGCAGTAGGGTAACGGGGTCGGCCGATGGTTGCTGAAAACACAGCACCCGTCGCTCACGCCACCGTGACACGACGGGCCCACCGCCCTCACTGGCACGGCCGCTTCCCGGGATACCCAGGCGCCCGTCCAGTCCGAACCGCGCTGCCGCTTCCCGACTTACCGTCGGGGCGCCAGCCCGGAGCCCACACAACAAAGTGCCAGGAGAAAAGCTTCCGAAACACCACCACGACGACCCTTGAAGGGCCAACGACGACCCATGATAGGCCGAAACCACCCACCCTTGCCCGACTGCCGCTACTCAGAATATGTCCGAGACGCCAGTCGGGCCCCTCTTTTGTTGCTCGTTAGCGCCACCCGGGGGACACGTGCAGGGTTACAAAGGGCCAAAGCCTGCGGACGTGAGCAACTCGTCCCCCAACGGAACCCCCTCTACGTCAACACCCAACACGGCTGGTCACCGCGGGGGAGAAAAGCAGAAATAGTTTTTCTCTTGATTACAATCCTCCAACTAACAATAAAAACAAAATAACCTAAAAAGAAAATTCAAATACTCTGTATATTGGTACCTACAACGTCAAATCTCTGTCAAGTACTATGAAGTTAATAGAACTCGCAAATGCACTGAATAACATTAAATACGACATCATAGGATTGGCAGAAGTGAGAAGATTGGGTTATGGCATTCAGGAATATAAAAAATTTATATTATGTTATAATGGTCAAACAAAAGGACAACGTGGAGTTGGCTTTATCATAAAAAAAAAGAATATTAAACCCTGTATCAAAAGGTTCAAAGGACTCTCAGACCTTCTAGATGTAGAGATAAATAACCAAAAAATTTCTATCATTCAGGTATATGCACCCACAGAAGTATCAGAGCAATCGGAAATCGATATGTTCTACAGCACTCTACATGCAGCTCACGAGATTGCAAACAGAAATATTATAGTAATGGGTGATTTTAATGCTAAAATAGGAAAAACGCATCCTGAAAACTGCAAACTACTTGGTAAGTTTGGCTATGGAAAGAGAAGCCCAAGGGGACAACATCTAATTAACTACGCTCAAGAAAATAATCTGTCAATTATGAACACTTTCTTTAAGAAAAAACCTAATCAAAAATGGACACTGATTTCTCCAGATAAGAAAACTAGAAACGAAATAGATCTCATACTTACAAACTTCCCAACCCCATTCCAAGATGTACATGTTTTAAATAGATTTATGCACTCATCAGATCATAGACTAGTTAGATCGAAAATATTATTCAAATCAACGAAAAAAAGTCGAATAAATTACAAAAGCTCTACCAACTTATTTAGAAATTTAAATGAAGAAACCTTGATAAACTTAAGAAAAATATTAAATCGATAAAAAATGACAACACGTGTTCCAGTCAAACTCTATACAATGAATTAGAAAAATGTATAAAAGACAGTATGAAAATTGAAAAAACAGATAAGAAAAAATCTAACAAAATATTAAGCAAAGAAACTCTAGACTTGATCAAACAACGCCATCAACTTCAAAATTTTAAACCCAAAACAGTCGATGTTAAAAAATTACTAAGTGCTATGTACAAAAAAACAAACAAATATATTAGAAAAGACTACAATAATTACAGATCCAAAGTAATAGAAAGACATATGAACGCGAATGGAAGTTGCAAACGCGCATTTAAAGAACTTCGCGTATTTAAAACATGGATACCAAGTCTAACAGAGAACTTCACCTGTACAAATAGCAGAGAAAACATACTTCGAATAGCGACCAACTTCTACAAAAATCTGTATGATCAGAAAGAAGAACATAAAGAAATAAATTTCAATTCACAGAAAGAACCAATTATTGACTGGAATGAAAAAGAAATCGAACATCAAATAAAAAAATTAAAACTAGAAAAGAGTCCAGGTCCAGACGGTATTCCAAATGAGGCCATAAAACTCGGCAGAACTTTGTTAATACCGATTATAACTTTCTTATTTAACACCATAAATAAAGAACAAAAAGTTCCAGAACAATGGACCAAATCAAATATTATTTTACTATTCAAGAAAGGTGATCCAAATAACATAGGCAACTATCGACCGATAAGCCTATTACCCTGTCTCTATAAATTGTTTTCATCTTGTATACTAAGCCGAATAACCACAAAAATTGACAATAATCAACCGGTAGAGCAGGCAGGTTTTCGAAAAGGCTACTCAACTCTCGACCATATTTAAGTATTAGAGAACGTAATTGAGAAATATAAATAATTTCAGAAACCTCTTTATCTAGGTTTTATAGACTATCAAAAAGCATTTGACTCTATGTCACATGCTTCTATCTGGGAGGCGCTTCAAGAGAACCATATACAAGAAACATATTGCAATATAATACAAAACATCTATAAGAAGAGTACAAGCAGAGTCAGACTAGAAACAAACGGTCCAGAAATAAATATAAAAAGAAGCGTAAAACAGGGTGACCCTTTGTCTCCTAAGCTTTTCATCGCTGTGCTAGAGACAATATTCAAAAAACTTGATTGGAAGGGCTTTGGTATTCAAATAAACAATAATAAGCTAAGCCACCTGCGCTTTGCTGATGATACAGTACTATTTTCTGAAAAAAGTCAACAGCTAGAACAAATGATGCAAAATCTTCAACAGCAAAGTTCGTCCGTCGGATTGGCAATGAATCTACAAAAAACCAAAGTAATGACGAACTCTTTAAAAGCGCATATTAACATTGGAAACGTTGCTCTGGAATACGTAGACACCTATATATATCTAGGAAAACAAGTTTCCTTTCATCCAAACAACAATATGGAAGAAATTGAACGAAGAATAAATGTATCATGGCAAAAATTCTGGGCTCACAAGGAAATACTGAAACGAGACCTGCCAATAACGCTGAAAAAGAAACTAATGGATAGTTCTATTCTTCCCTGCCTTACCTACGGCTCACAAACTTGGACATATACAGAACGAGCGAAAGAAGCAATCAAGACATGCCAATCTGCAATGGAAAGATCTCTCTTAAAAATTCGAAGATTACAGAAAATACGCAACAGCTTTATTAGGAACAAAACTAAACTGATTGACTTTTTACAGCACTCCATGAGATTAAAGTGGAAATGGGCCGGTCATTTGGCAAGAACGAAAGACGAAAGATGGACAAAGAAAGTCATTATATGGAAAGGACCTACAGGAAAGAGGAAACGTGGAAGACCACCAAAAAGATGGGTCGATGACATAAAAAAAATAGCTGGAAACAATTGGGAAACAAAGGCAACAGACAGAAAAAAGTGGTTAGAAATGGAGGAGGCCTTTACCCTAGAAAGGGGTTCTCATTTATAATAGGTTTAAATTAATTGAAAATCTTTAGTAAACATAAATAATATCTGATTAATGTAAATGAATATATAGTAATAAATAATAAATAAATTAATTAAATTATAGTAAGTAGTTAAAATGTGATATTCTTATAATTATTAAATGTGTATTAATTTGTAAAAACATAAATTCATTTAAATCGTATGTAATATTATTATTATAATGCATGCATGAATATAATGAATGAGAAATTAATAAAGGCTTTTTTATTTTTATTTATTTATTTATATATACCATCTGATAATGCTATTAAAGTGGTAAATTTGAACAATCTTAAACTTTGCTTTGCAACTTTTTTTGAAAAATTCCCGCATGATAAATATAAAATATTAGGTGATTTTAATTTGGCATTTTTGCGTTGGAATATTAACGGTTACACATTACTACATATCGGCAACAACGAGTTACGGACAAGCGCAGTCGACCTCATAGACGAATTGTGTTACTCTGGTATGATTCAACATAATTTCAATCGGAATCCTTATGACAATGTTTTGGATTTATGTTTTTCAAACTTAAATATAACAATATCAATACAAGTTCAACCACTAAGTAAATTGGATGTTTTTCACCCGCCATTTTTGATTCTTATCTCTGAAATAAACATAAAACCATTTAAAGAACAACCTAGTCCAAAATTTCAATTTTATAAAGCTAATTACCCTGAAATTAATATTTTTTTTAGTAAGGTGAATTGGCGCGAAATTTTAAATTCAAACTGCATCAATACAGATGTCAGCAATTTTTACAGTAAGGTTAATGAATGTTGTGCACTGTTTGTATCAAAAACTATTCCTAAAAATCAACACTATCCTATATGGTACAGTTCTTCACTAATAAAAGTTATTTTAGAAAAAAATAAAGTACATCATAGATGGAAAAAATATCACAAACCAAGAGATTATGATGAATTCTCATTATTAAGAAAAAGACAACACAGAATACAGAAACAATGTTACGATCATTTTACCAATAGCACTGAAACACTTATACAAAAATCACCAAAAACTTTGGAAATACGTTAAATCGAAAAGAGGCGGATCTAATTACCCGCAAAGCTTCACTTCAAATTTTCAATCTTTTAATACAGGTAGTGAAATATGTCTGGCATTTAGTAGATTTTTTGAAAGTGCCTTTTCCATATCATCAACTTCACACATACAGCCTGAATCTAATATTACCTCTAACGACACTCTCTCACGGATAAACATTGATACTGAAACAATTGAGAAGACCTTAAAGTTACTGGACAAGACCAAAGGAGCTGGTTGTGATGGGCTACCTCCAATCTTTTTATCACTTTGTGCTAAGAGCTTAGCATTACCCATTGCTATATTATTTGAACAATCTTTAAGAGAATGCAAGTTTCCATCTCTTTGGAAACGAG